CAGCCAGGTGCCCCGACAGACTAATCACTTGCGATTTATTTCCTAGAAAAATCATAATTTAGAATTACTTTAGGTATTGTATATTTTTGTCAGTAGACTGTGTTTTTTTTAGAATCAGTGATTTTGTGTTTTGTTCGCAGCGCCCCCGGGATCAGGACTATATGCCCGGCACCCAGTGGACGTTAGTTGGATGGTCTACTTCTCTAAGCATCTCTGCCGCTCTGTTCAAGAAGTCTGTAATCCCTCCTCGACGTCATGGCCTTCTCTCTGCCTCAAAATTGTTCCTCCTCTGAGCCAATCTATGGCTGTCATTCTCTCTTGGGTTTTTTTTTTTTACTTAGAGATATTTATTTTTAAGATTTACTTGTAAATTTAAAGCATCATGAGGCATTTAGGTATGTGGATATGAAGAGAACTATTTCGACATATCATTTATATTTCTGGGCTGTAGATACTACCATTCCTCTTCTCTAAGCCTTTGTAGTCATTCCCATCCCAATACTCTGTTAGTAACCAACACATTATAAAGAGACTGACAATTAAGAGATCAAAGAGCATTTCTCTTTTCTGTCGCAATAAAAAAAGTCCTGAAGAAACATATTGCCTTGATTTTACTATTCTGTGTTCAATAGTTTGTTCTTTCTTTTCGTGTGCAAGCACGTTAAAAAATGTGTTCATTATTGAAGTATATTGCCTCGCAACATTAGGTTAGTTTCGGGCTCACGACAATCCCACGCGTTACTCAGTGCTCACCGCGATGAGTGGAGTCCCCATCTGTCACCATGCTACGTAATTAGGGTTCTAGCGACCATACTCCCCATGCTGTATGGCTCATCCCCACGACTCGAAGTTCGGACCTCTCGGTCCTGTCACCTGTTCCAACCATCTCCCTGCCCCCCTCCCCTCTGGCAGCCACCAGTGTGTTCTCTGCATTTACGAACCTGTTCCTGGTGTTTTTGTTTTGTTAGATTCCACATGTGGTATCGTATGCTACTAGTTTCTCTGACTTACATCACTCAACACAATACCCTCTAGTTCCCTTGTGTTGTTGCAGGACTGTCCTTTATTATTATTTTTAAGATTTTAAGTCATCTCTGCACCCAACCTGGGGCTCGAACTCTCAATGCTGGGATCAAGAGTCGCAGGCGCCACGGACTGAGCCGGCCAGACGCCCTCAGTTCCCTTTCGTTATGGATCGACCTTGGCCCTGACCTCTCTAGGTTCCCTCGTCAGCCTTTTACATATGAAGTACTTTTAAGCAGAGTAACTGTTTTATTCTATAATATGTTACAGGAATACAGGGTGACAGTTGATCAAGAATTTGGTTGAAGTTAATTTATATTGTCATAGCTGGTTTTCACTTTACTATTTCTCTCACACACCTTTCTAGTCATGAAAAAGGCAAGAAAAATAATTTGCAGATTCCTAGTGTTTGCTAAAGCCCAGGAACTTATTTTTTCTCTTAAAAAAACCCCCAAAACCCGCAACAAACAAACCCAGTTTGGCCTGTCTGTCGCCGTGACCTTTACACGCGGGCAGGTCAGGATGCGGCGGGTGTCGGGTCGGCAGCGGCTGGGCCGTGGGGCGGACGCTGCTAAATGTGGCTTTTACTGTAAGACCACACACTTCCCTTCTATTCTTTGCTCTGTTCTTTTGTCTGCGTCCGTTCTCTCTCAAATGAAAGAAGTGGAGAGCAGAGCACTGGGGTTGCCCAGCATCATCCACACACATGGCCAAGGGAATACACAGAATAACGCTCTCCCTCATAGGAAGAGTGAACAACTAAAATCATAAATACCATTTCACATGCACCAGACTGAGAAACGTGGCAACGTGCGAGTCATGGTTTCAAGTGTGTCTACTGCACCTGACGCTGTTGTGGGCCCTGGAACGGAAACTCCAAAGTAGAAACTTTGTCTGAAGCGTTCCCTGCTGCACCTGCAAACGCCTAGGAGTGCCCCGCGCGCGGCAGGCGATCCGCAGACGCTTGCTGGAGAAGGAAGGGTCCCGGCTGGTTCACGGCTGGTTCACGGCTGGTTCACGGGCTGACTGAGACACCTGCAGGCCCCTGTCGGAGCAGGGACTTCGAAGCTGCAGTGACCAAAGTGGGTTGAGCATGGGGCTGGGACGAGGGATTTCCCCTCCACGACCACAGCTTCCTACCACAGCTCCCACTTCCCGGTTCTTGGTGCCTCAAAGACTCAGCACATCACAATTCACCCCGTTGCTAACGTTTTTGGGGCCATGTCTGATTTTTTTCTGGGGAGCATTCCATTGTCATGTACTTCAGAACGGTTCCCCTTGCTGGTAACTCAGATGGGTCAACTCCGTGCTTTGACGACTGTGATAATCTTCTATTTGATCTTTGGACTTTTTTCACTCCACTTCCTCACTGCCAGACTAATCGTTCCAGAATACGGCTTCCATGATGCTATTGCCCTGCTCAGAAGTCTTTTTTTTTTTTTTAAAGATTTTATTTATTTATTTGAGAGAGAGAATGAGATAGAGAGAGCATGAGAGGGGGAGGGTCAGAGGGAGAAGCAGACCCCCTGCTGAGCAGGGAGCCCGACGCGGGACTCGATCCCGGGACCCCGGGATCACGACCTGAGCCGAAGGCAGTCGCCCAACCGACTGAGCCACCCAGGCGCCCCCCCTGCTCAGAAGTCTTTAATGACTGCTGTGCATCACCATTTCTTAGTTTTGTCCCCACAGCCCCCAGTGACCAGGTCAGTCTGCCTCCCGTTAGTACCTGCAAGTCCTGCACAGGACTCCTCAGCTCCAGCTAGTCAGGTGGACTCGAGTCCCCCAAACCACCTGTGATTGCCACCTGTATTGTCTTTGCTCACGGGACCCCAGGGTCCCAGGGTCTCTGGTCTTTAGCCTAAGGCCCCTTTGAATTGTCCAAATTATAACCCTGTGAGCCTTCTTTCCTTAAGTAACGTTCGGAATTTCTGGAGAATGTTCTCAAGTCCCAGGAAACTGCTGTGCTGTCACCTGTCCCCACGGCCCGTTTCCCCCTGCAGAGAAGCCCTGCCCCCTGGCTGGTCGGTGGGGGGGCACTGCTGTCCCGCTCACTCAGGCTGCGGGTCTCGTCCCAGCCTGTGTGGCCACGCCCGGATCAGAACAGCGTGCGGAACGAATGCGGGGCCGAGCGCGAGGATGCTCTGGGGCCTTCCTCAGCCACCTCCCCTCCGGCCCTCCCCACGCCTGCAGTCACACCTCCACGGCCACCTTCTCCCGGTCACCCAGAGGACAGATACGGAGCGCAGGTCAAGCGCCAGGCACCGTGCCAGGCACAGGGGGCCTCGGGATGAGCCACAGACACACGGGGCCTGTTTTCACGACAGACATTAAACAATTGCAAATAGGTGAGGGGAGCAAATCATTCTACATGTGCAAAACGCTGCCAAAGAAGTTCTCGGAGCACACGTGCACGTCCTCTACATCCTCCGGGGCCCAGAGCAGGGGAACCGATCCCCACCTCTTGTGCCGACTCCGGTCAAGTCAGTAATAGTAGAACCTATGAAAAAGCAATTCTGAACTGAAGACAGCTTTTTTACATTATTATGCAGACAGTTTAGCTCCCGACTTTTTCATATTTCCTCAGTAGAGAATGAAAAGAGCCCAAATCCACACACTCTGAAGCCATGTGCTCGGCGCCATTCTGAGCCCAGACGATTAACGTACGTAATTTTCACAGTAACCTATGAAGGAAAGCCCTACGTTCCCCATTTTACAGATGAGGCAAGTCAGGCACGAGAGGTTATAACTAGCTCAGTCACACAGCAAGTATGGGCAGAACTAAGAACCCAGGCGATCGGGCTGCCCAGCCCCAATCCTTTATTGCTGTGCTGTTCTACCCTCAACACCGATAATGTGCGTAATCGCAGACGGGTCATTAAGATGATTATCCCACAACAACGGAGCGATCTTCCTCAAAGGGGTTTTGTGCCTCCCACTCTAAAGCAGAGGAGGGGCACTGGCCACCACGCAGGATCCGTTCCCCAGCTTGGGCTCTGCACTTGGAGCCCAGGGCCGGGCCCCAGCACCCTGCCTGCCACCTCCCACTTCCCGCCCCCACTCCCCCCCCAGGTGCTGACACCCCACCCGCCCCTCGCTCCTCGGTGGAGGCCAGGCCAAGGCCGGACTCAGGCAGCGGCTGCGCCCTGCACACACACTCTTACACGCTCCCTTCTCCGCTAGGCTCAGAGAGACTGGTTTTCCCGAAGAAACAGCACAGGCCTTGCACAGAGCTGATACTCAAAAGAACTGTTGCTTGGCCAGCTGATGGATTAGGAGCGAGTCCCCAGGGTCTGTGCGGTACGCAGCAGGGCTCGTGCGATGTTTGAGTTCCTAATTTTACGTTTCTTATATGGTTTAAAAAATACCTACAGATATTAGGAACATATCTGGAAAATATTCATTCAACAAATACTTAATGTGCCGAGCACTGTATTAGAAGTGAGACAAACTGTCCTGAGCTCTATACCCCAATTGCCAACTGCTTTCCAGATAAATCCATGGGGACAGATCCCAGATTGTCATTCCTATTCTTACAACACAGAAACATATTCCAAACTTGCCTCTCCTCAAAGTCTCAGCATTTCTTGCCTGCTTTTTATCCCCTTTGGGATGCATGTCAATCATTTCTTTCTTCCTCCCTCCCTCCCTCTCTCTTTCTTTCTTTCAAGATTTTATTTTTAAGGATTCTCTACCCGCAACGTGGGGCTCAAGCCCACAGCCCTGAAATCAAGAGTCTCATGCTCCACGGACTGAGGCAGGCAGACACCCCCAGTCATTTTTTCCACTCAAGATTTTAAGTCACACATTCATTCTACGAACGTAATGAGGACGCAGGAGCATGTAACGTAAGGCACCTGCTCTCTACCTGTCTGCCAACCTAATACCATCAGGACAACTCTCTCTGTGCATGTGCGGCTCCTCTCTTAGCTAGCGGACAACCGCAGTTTTAATTTATTATGTGATAAAAGAGTTTACGATTACTTTCAGAACATTACTGTTTTATTGAGGATTTTAAGTGGAACAAATGAAGCAAAGGAATTGTTATGCACTTTGCAGCCCTAGAGACGTAAATCTTTATGCAATGAAGAAATGTAATGAAATGAAACTCAAATTTGAAAAGCGAACAGTTCATATTAATGATCAATAGAGTGATGTTCAGTTTTCTGCCACAATTTCAACCCAGAATTAATTAGCTTCTAAAATAAAACACATGGAAAATCGAGGGCTTACTTAAATCTTAATGCAACAAATATGAACTAGATTTTTAGTTCTTTGTAACTTCCTGCAAAAATTCCAAGACTGTTCTGGTGTAGATTGTGTTCGGGATGGAATTTGGTCCTCACGTTACTATTCCAGATACATTTAAAGAAAGGCATCTTGGTACTTGTCTCCTTCTGCTCCAAGCAGTTTCTCTATATTTTACTTGAATTGACTTGCAAAGTAAATGTTTACCTATAACTTGGCATTAAAATTAAAAATTGGTAAATAAAACAGTATCAAAATAGATAACCTGAAAGAACCTGTTAAGACATTTCCCCCACACCGTAAGAGTGGTATAAAACATGAACATGACGCTTGATCGGATCCACAATGAAGTAAGAAAATGTCTGTTCGTGACTCTCTGTCGAAGGGTAGCACACACCAGCGCCATCCTGAAAGAGAAAAAGCTACATTATAGATTATTTAGTCTACGACGACATTTAAGTCATCAACAACATATTTAACTATTATATATTTTCTGTTAAAATGTCATGAAACATACATCAAATCTTTGACAGTAAATTGGTAATTAACGGATATTTTAAAATATCTTTTGACAGCACAGTCAACTGTACAAACCCACATAATTCCTGACCTTAAGGAATTTATAGTCCAAAAGGAATGCTTATCTTTTGAAAAAGTGTTTTTAAAGTGCTACTATTGCAAAAATTGTTATTTTGCAATTTTCTTCTATCTTTGCTTTCTTTTAGAATGTGGCCCTTACCTATTACGAGGTAGGTTTCTCTTGTTTGTCAGCAGAAAGTGCCCTAGCCCCACACAGTAGCTGATACACAATAGATGTTCAGTAATATTTGTTAAGTGATTGAATAAAGATACTTAGAAATTGCTTCAAATGTGCAAATAATCTTTGTATGACCCTAGAATTCAAGCAACTTATTCTGTGATGTAAAGCCATTTATGGTGTTCTTACTTGTTTGCCATATATATTATGGCTTGGCAGACTAGAGAACCATGTCCTACTCCATCTGAGTCACAGATTCAGGTCTTAAATACGTGAGAACTATTATTAGACATGGACAACAGAAAGGAGGGGGAGAAGTTCGGGTGACTCTCCGAATAAAGCCATACCTTATCAACTTTTACTTTTAGCAAAGAACTAAATACCATCGTCTTTTCTCCTAGCCATAACCTTGAACTGGTTGCTCACTGAGTTGTAACAGCCCTCTGAATAACAAGGGATTAAACTGATCGGTTGTGAATCCCCCCCCGCACTTACATATGCTGTGACTTTAAAGACGGAAGAAGTAATTTGTATTTTCTTGGTCTGAGGATTCTTTCGAACACTAAAATAGGGGGAAAGGGACACATTTTAAATACAGCAAGCATTGGCATAATACATTTAAGATACTGATCCCCTTTACTACTCAGGTGTTCTTGTTCATATATAACAGAAATAGATCATGTCCACCTAGACTGGTCACCCAGCCGAACGGCAGAACATGGAGCTGGGCGGTCAGAGGCTTTGTGCTCCGATGAGACAATTACTGGAAAAAGAGTAGCTGGTAAGAGTCGGGCTGGAGTGTAGACAGACTGGAGTGTAGACAGCAGGTACAAGCATGTGAACTACGGGCTTCAACCAACTCAGCTCACAGGCCAGTTCGGCCCCTGAGTGAGCGCTGCACTTCGGGCAACATCAGCCTTCCTGGACATCAGTTTTCTCCCATGCAACACAGGCACTGTCTGAGAACCGAGTGGGAGAAGGCCTAAGAAAACTGTTTATTAAATTATGGATTGTTAAATTCTGTCACATGACAATCGTTTTCTCTCAGTCACTCTCCCCACAGAAGACTGCCTGTGACCTGTGTAGCGGGTTGGGTGCGCTGGGACGCGGGGGTTGAGCCGCAGAGAGAGACTGAGACACACGATCTTTGTGATGCTTTACAATCTGCCAGGCGCCCTTGTATCCTGGACCCCGTCTGAAGACCACACAGTCAGGGAGCTTGGCTGGCACTATTTTACCGAGTTTACAGACAACAGAACCAGAGAAGTTAAGCAAGATATTTAAGACACTCAGACGACGGGTGGTATTTCTGGGAGCAGAGTCAGGTGACACGGCGTGCGGTTCCTTCCCCGCGCTCGCTAACACACAGCTCCAAGGCACTCCGCAGGTGGGATGCGTGTAGGTGACACTTAACGGAAGACATCCGTCTTCTTCACTTTATAGGCCCAAGTACTGCTTCTCCTTCCCTACGTGTGAAGAGTAACGGGGAGGGAGAGAAGAGGGGAAGGAAGGGGGAGCGTGCTGAGCGCGAGTGTGCGTGAGTGTATGTGAGCTTGTGCTCCTACTGGTGGCCAGACCTAAGTCATTTCAGGGTTCAAAGTTCTTAGGCAGTTTTTATCTTTAAAACATTCCACTCAAATTTAAACCCAGAAATCATGTAACTAAATTAATTTCTGTATATCTCTACGACATGGATTGAGGTCACTTTCTTTTAATTAGGCTCCACGCCCAGCGCAGAGCCTCACATGGGGCTTAAACTGACTATCCTGAGAGCAAGACCGGAGTGGAGATTGAGAGTTCAACACTCAACCAACTGAGCCAGCCAGGTGCCCCAAGGTCATTTTATTTCTCAAATGCTTAACGTGTACTGCTTAAAAACTGAAGACTACACTTAAAATTCTGTGCTTATGCAAGGGATGACTGTAACCATTACATATAAAACACGTACACTGTACACACTTATATGACACCCTGATCAAAACACAAACCTGCCTACGGTCATAACTGATTTGAAGTCCTGATCTGGGGGTGGTTATAGGGGTCCAGACATATAAAAATTCACTACGCTATAGATACACTAGGATTTGTTCACTTTACTGTATGTAAATAAGCCCAGTTAAAAAAAATTACCAAAAAACCCCAAACAAACCCTTATAAAAGTTTGTGCTTATCAAGTAAACTCAGAAGAAAATTCAGTATTTAACAATAACTCAAAGATACCAACATGCACTGTAAGCGTGTTACTTACAAAAAAGGAACTACCGTTGAAAGTTATTAGAAGTTGGTTCCTACTAGAAATAAGCCATATGACCCCATTTTATTACCTCTGATTCTGTGTTATTCTTACTTTAAAGTAGCTCTCAGATAATTTCTTATTTTTCGTAGATCAAGTAGAGTGTCGCCTGTCCGGTATCTCCTAGCCAACTAGAAGAAGAAAGACAGGGCGGGGGAACTGGCTCGAGCTCTAGGCTACACTAACTACTAACAGCAGACCCGCGTCAGACCGCGGTGCTCACCGCTCACTCCAGATAACTGAGGCTTTCAAGTGTGAGAACCTAATTTCCGTAGAGTTCTTTTTAAAAGTGTGATTAGACTACTGGTTGAGAAGTAAAATCATGAACAGTTTCTTAAAATCCCCTGTGCTGATTTCTGAGGCTCGATCCCATATTGACTCCAAGCAAGTTTCACGGACCATTCTAGGTAACTCTGCTCATTTTAAGAAATAAGAATCCACTGCTTGATTAGCGTCTGAAGCCATCATCTAAGCCTCTCAGCTAAAATCATAAAATTTCACATCTGGGGCAGATATGCAGTTTGGAAAACCTCTCCAAAAACTCTGACAAGAGCATGTGTTTGATATTGGAAGCAGAAAAGACAAAGGCACCATTAGTAACTACGCAATTATTTCTGCATCAACATTTCTGAAATGTAACCAAACAACTGGTCATCTACTCTCTAATGAAATGGTTCTGAAATACCACCATATTATTTGAAAGACCATAATCCTTGAAAAGAAGGCATTTTCCAGAACATTTACAGAGTGTTATTTTACAGGACTCGTAATAACGGATGAGGGAAAAAACATCTTAAGAATGTTTTTACCCTTCTGTGTGAGCCAGAGACCTCGAACACCCAGCTCTGCGGTGTGCACACAGCACCAGAGACAAACGGGACGGGCTTTTCCGGAGGGGCCTGCTGAGGACGCTTCTCCACAGGGGCGGGTGAGGTCATGCGAGCAGCTACCCCGCGTACAGTTAGAAAGATAGCAGATGATTGTCTAAAAACTGTGGAAACATGGGGCGCCTGGGTGGTTCAGTCGGTTGGGCGACTGCCTTCGGCTCAGGTCATGATCCTGGAGTCCCGGGATCGAGTCCCGCATCGGGCTCCCTGCTCGGCGGGGGGTCTGCTTCTCCCTCTG